AAACTTTCACTCTTCTTCTCATTTATCCTCGTTCAGGCTCGCTGAGGTGCTGTCTCTTCCCTCCTCTAGCGGAAGGATGCTGCCACTGAAACCAGGTTTCCAGAAGCGCTCGGTAACCATAGCTGCTGCGGCCACCTTCGAGCTGCACGGACTCGGTGCTTTGGCTGCTTTCGAAAACGCAGCCACGAGCTTTCCAGTGGGAGCAACTGGGCTCCGAGCTCTTCTGAAACCTGGCCCCGGTGAGCACCGCCTTATGGGGAACCCTCCAAGAGGAAACGGGTCCGAAATCTTTGCGTGTCGTCTCTCGTAAGTGTAAAAATGAGACAACTTGGCTGTGCCATTGTTACGTTCTTTCAAACCAACAAGTCTTTGCGGCGTTACCCTCCTCGTCGTCTCGTGACACCTCCTTTCCTATGGAAATGGGCCCATCTGGGGATTCACGTGGTCCCGGGCAGATAATTGTAATGGTCCCCCCGGCCTTTAAAATCTATGAATCACTCCAGTATCGGGGCACTTTATGCACATTAGCGAATTAATCCTTACAGCCTCTCTGCAAGGGAGGGAATTATCGTTGTCATTGCTTGGATGGGAAATGGGTGAGATGGAGCCCAGATCTGCGCAAGAACTGGGGGGTCACATCACTCACAGCCGTAACAGCTAACCTTTGGGCACCCAGCCCTTGGGGGCATCCGTGACCCTGCATTAGTTACCTCTGCAGTTGTGCCGAGTGAACAGGGAATATCTATCCAGCCTGCCACGCGGCTAGAAATCCATCTGAGCCCTGTCACAGCGAGATGTATGGATGGGGCGTAGGCAGCAGGTCTGCCGCAGCCGGGAAGCGCGAGGAGGATGTGCTGCGTCGGACGCTGGGTGGGCTGGGATGCGTGCGGGAGGTCCAGCATCTCCCCGTGGAGTTGGCCTCGCTCTCCGCACGTTGCGTCTCCCGGCTCGCGTGGGTGTCCTGCCCGCTGGGAGGTCCCCAAACGAAGGAGGTAGGTGCCCCTCGCCCGAGGCGGTGCCAGGAGAGCAAGGCAGACCCCAGGACATCCCCCAGCCCCCTCGTCCTGGGCTGATCGCACCGCGATCGCTCGCTGTAGGGCATCACGGCAACCGGACGGACTTTGGAAGTGAAACCTCTTGTGGCTCCTTTTAATGTCGGTGACTTTGAGCTCAGCTTATCCGCGCCGGAGCACTTAGTGCAGTCATTTACCTCTAGCACTGCGGTTGCAAGACACGTGCTGATTTCTTTTGTTTCCCCTGGTATCCAGGTGTTTCAACCATGTCACGGCAGTACCGTGGTGTCCGTGGGCAGAATAACGCACCGCTGTTCTGGAGTTAAGGTTGGAGCAGCATTTCGGCTTCCCCGTATTAATGACAGCTTATTAATTCAGCCGTGTGGTGATCTTGATGGAGACAGGTTTGGCTCCTCACCCCTTTCAGGTCTGGTGAGACTGTACCAGGGCTTGTGCTTTCGGCAAGGTAAAGTCTCCTTTTTACAAGCGTGTGCCCGTGGAACAGTTTGTGCTGTTGCAGCCTACACTTGGTCTATATTAAAACTGAATTTTGGCCGGGCGACTGGCTCGGTGCGCAGCCGGTGTTTATGTTCTCTGAAAATGACTGTCAAGGTTAAAAAATAGCTGTGCAGCTTGTGCGCTGGAGCTGCTGGGAGAGCCAGCGAGCGCCTGGGCTCCTGCACGGACGGAGGGTTGGATGCGGTGGGTTTGGCGCTCGCCTCGCCCTCCTTTTGCATCAAATGCAGTTATAGGCTTTACAAAAGCAAGGAAAAACCCTGAGCAACCCCTTCTCTTTCACGTTGCGCTTATTAAACCAATGGAAAAATCTCCTGACTAAAGATCCAGGCTTCAGCCTACTGCATTTATTCTCTGGCTCTTGCTCTAATGGAGATGGCGTGTTGGTCCAGCTGGAAGTATTGTGTCCTATTAAATAAAGATTTTTAAATGAGCACATTTATTCATCAAGCTGTCACAGCCTGTTGAGTAAAGAATGCAGACTAGCCAGCCTTAGCCTGCCTCAAATCTGTTTTCTCCGAAAAGCTGTTACCATCTCTGGGGTAAATAAACCCAGCCTCGTGTTTACCCAAACCCCAAATGCCATCCATGTGCTCCGTCCCCTGCACTGAAGGCAGCCGTAGGGCCATCGTGGGGGGAGAGAAAAGCAGAAATTGGGGCCGCGTGCGGTGTTTAAACTCTTTATTTTACGCAGCCCTTCGCCACTGCAGCGTGAAGGGTCGCCGCCGCTTTCGGGGCCGATTTGCAGCGGCATTATCCCAGCGCCTGTCCCTCGCCCCAAAGAGTTTACAGTCTACATCTTCTTTTTAATTCAGACGCCCGCAAAATAGCAGGCTGAAATAACACTGCTGTATGTCAGCTGCTGATGGAAGGAGATTAAATATTAAAGCCAGTGCTGTGGCTTTAACTCATTTCTCTTCCCCCTTTCTCCCCCCCTGCTTTCTTCTCTGTGTAAAATGACATGATTTAGAACTGAAGTGCCAGACTCAGCCTCTAGGTTTCGGCGTTTGGAAATGTATGTAGAAAGATATATTGTGTCTGTGAGCATTTCTGTGCAGAGAAAGAGAGAGCTCCCAAGCTAGTGAGACCACATAAAGATGTTAAATAGAGCTGTAACGCACACTGAAAGCAGGAAAAGTGCCCTAGGAAAAAAAAAAAAGTAAAAAAAAAAAAATCCTGCGATGGAGCAAAATGAAAGATTAAAATAAATTCAGAGGTACCGAGGCTGGGCTGAAACGTGCCCCTTGTGGAGCTGGGGCTGGCGGGGAGAGCACGGTGGGGAGAGGAAAGTGTCCCCCATTCCCTACCTCATCGTCTTGCTGCTTTCCTCATTGACCTAAAAATCTCCCATTTCTTTACCCAGTACAAAACGGGGTCGGAGAATTGGGAATTTTCTTCCTTTTCCTTTTTTTTCCCTGTCTCTGCATGTTTAGTATTTCGAGACGCCGCTGGAGCAGCGGCCGCCTGCCTGCTAAATATTCATCTGAAACCGGCTGGTCCTCTGCCTTCACAAAAAACCTGATTTATTTTTCTCCGCTTACCGTAACCCACCTATTTTCCTCCGCTAACGGCTCGTCACCACGTCGCACGGGGCGAGCGGGGTTGGCAGCCAAGTACGTTAAAAGCCAGGGTGGTTTTGGGCCAGAAATATGACAAAGTGTCGGTGCCCACCCTTTCTCCTCGGTCCCCCCTTCCACGAGCGCTTTATGGTGTGATGCAAAACCATGCTGCAAATTTTGTCTCCCTTGGAAAACGGCGGTGGTTCGCTCGCTTCTCCTTTGTTCGGTGGCGTTTTGGCGTCGCCGAGATTTGTAACGCTGTTTGGAAATGAGTCACGTTTGGGCTGGAGCAGAGCTGAGGGTTTCGGAAGCTGCGGGGAGGAAAGAAACCCAGAACACGTGTGTCTTTAGCAAAACCGTCGAGAAATGTTGTTTAAGGTTTAGTTACGGACCGGATCGGGGAGCGGCGGCTGGGGAAGGTGGAGGGCGTGCGCCCGGAGTTACGCGGGCAAAAACCTCTTTGGTTTTCTCCCCGCAAGTGTGTTAAGACCCACCAGCTCTAATTTCTTTTAATCTGAGCCCCAGTTACGAGTCACCATCAAAAGCACCTTCTGATACGACGTCTTTGAAGGACGCTTTGCATAATACACTTGTTATTGCGCTGAAGGGGAAGATCGATGGGACGTGTGCGGGTGCGCCCGTTGTCTCGGCAGTGCTGTCCCTTGCCTCTGCTAACGTCCCCCCTGCCGCACGGCTCCCGGGAAGGCGCCGCCGCGGCTTCCAGCCTGGAAAACGCAGCTTTGCTCGATAAAAAAAAAATTGAGTCGTAAATAAGTATCGGAAAGAGCAAGCGAACCCGGGGTGTCACGCTTGAGCTAATTCATAGAAACAGGTGGCTTTGGGTTGGTTTGTTTGGTTGGTTGATTTAAAGAGAGAGAAAAAAGGAAGGGGAAAAGGGCAGAAATCCTTTGCTGCAGCAGCAGCTCTTTCTAGAAACAAGAAGCCCGATGCTGTGCGGCTCCTGGATGCATAAAAATCCTGCGGTACGGCCCGTGCAATGCCCTCAGCCTCCCGGTTTGTCGCAGTCTATTAGGAGAGGCGCAATCCATCCTCGGGTCTTTATGATTATTTGCTTTAACCCCGTCCCTGCCTCTCCCTCCCCCCACCCCCCTTTCCTCAGTCTCGATGCCCCCCTTTCCTCAGTCTCGTTGCTTGGGGCTGGTGCAGCCGTTCAAAGCAGCCCCGCAGCGGGCGATGCTGCCCTTTTGTCTGGGTGTCAACGATGGCCCCCGTGCACCCAGCCCTGCCTCGCGGGGTGGACGCGAGCCCCCCCACCCAGCACATCCCTAAAGCCATCGTGGGTGGGTTTTTATCCTGCAGTTCTCCCGCAGGTGGAATTTCAGACAACGTCTTTACGGCACATGAAATGCAATTCAATTCTCCCGCAGGTGGAAGACAACGTCT